GCATAACCTGTAATACGTAAATGTGAAATTCTGAAAGAGCGGACCACTATGACTACGTATTTATTCAAAAATTAATATATGACGTACATGATGCCGATCCCTTAAACATGATGATGGTCACTTTTGTGGTCATTGGGACAGTTGACACTTACAGTCGAGAGAATCCGGCAGTTCGCATGTACAACTGCACATCATGCGCACTCATCCGCAAACTTCATCATGGTCAGGCCATCTGTTCATTTTTTTTTGAAAATTCTTGCTAAATTGCAAAGCATTTGCATTGATCAATAAAACAACAAACACTTGAATTGTAATACATTAAACTAATGAGAAAAGAGGAGAATTGTGGAAGGCATTATGAAGATGGCCCGATTACAAAGTGAAACTGTCAACTTGGGGTTTTTCGGGGTAAACTGGCAAGGGCAATTCCACATTCAAATGATGGGATTCACTAGAATATATGTAGCGACAATAGAGAAAATGACGCTAGTGATATTTTTTGCTATAACAATAATCCGCCCCGTTTACGACAATGAGAGCGAAAACAGCTGTTTGCGCGTCCTAAGGTTAAACCGCAACATAACTGCACAGTTTACTGTAGAAAGCCATCAGCGTTTTTCCTTTCTTATTATGTAAGCGAATGGGAACATCGCAGTAATTTGGTTATTGATGTTGCCAGTCCGCATCACAAGAATGGACTATAAACCATACATGAGAAATATGCTCTGGGCCACGTTTTTTTTTTTGAAAGGATAGTATTGTGCACAAAGTAGGAACGTGTGTAAGTTCTGCACTGAATCATTTAAGGCAAAAGACGTAGACGCCAGTGAGTGTTCTTAATGGTTTACTGATATTCTCCTCTGAATGATGTGGTGGCAATATATCCCAGTACTTTACAGTTTTCTTATCGAAGAATTGTCTTATGGCGACTGGGATGGTGCATTTGCACCGTAGTACCCAGCAGCGCACCGCACCCGCACCACTCGGCATAATGGCGGGAACTCAATTTTAATTTTTAGTTTTTGATTATAACGTATCTGGCGT